AGAAGGGCAGAGAGAAGACCAAACGAACACACAAACGAGTCGGCGCAATAGAAAAAAGGCGCGCGGGGTGCAGCAGGCTGCGGCAGCGCTGCGGCGACGCAGCGCTGCCGCAGCAGCGTGCGGGGCAGGCAAATAGACATGAAAAGCTCTGCTTTGACGTGCACTCATGAAGTGATCTAGACGCAGCGCGCTCTGCGCACCCGTGCTTGTGCTCAGGCAGCACGGCGCCTGCGGCTTGCGGCGTCGCCGCCGGGGCGGGGCCGGCCCTCGGTTGAGAAGCAGGCTGCCCGCCAGGTCGGCGGGCCGGCCGGCAGGGTGGGAGGGTGCGAGGGGCCTCACTGCTTGAAGTTGAGGCCCTGGTTCCCGCCCTGCTGGTTGTAGTACTGGCCGTAGCCCTGCTGGCCGTAGCCGGCCTGGCCGTAGCCCTGCTGGCCGTAGCCCTGCTGGCCGTAGCCCTGCTGGCTGTACGCCTGCTGGCCCTGGGCCTGCGCGTTGTACAGGCTCTCCTTGTCGGCCTTGTTGCCGCCGGTGTAGCCGCCGGCTGCAGGGCAGGGGACACCGGGGCGCGGGGCGGGGTTGGCCGTCACCACAGCCGCCCAGGCAGCGTACCTCAGCACAACACTCCCTCCCCGGGAAGCTGCCGACCCCAGCGTGGGTTGGGGTTGGCTGCCTGGCCCTCGGGAGCCGGCAGCCCCGGGCGCGCCCAGCACCCGCTGCCTGCGAGCGGACGGCCGCGCCGCCCCGCACGCTCACCAGCAGAGGCGCCCGCCTCCTCGTAGTTGAGCCCGTAGGCAGCCTGCTGGCCGTAGGCGGCCTGCTGGGGGTACTTGGGCGCGCCGTAGGTCTGGCCGGCCTGGGGCGGGTAGGCGCCGGCGGGCTGGGTGTAGCCCGGGTACCCGTAGCCGGGGTAGCCGTAGGGGTTGGGCATGTAGGGGTACTGTGGGGATGGTGGGGGTGGGGTGGGGGGTAGTACGGGGTTGAGTGCAACATTCAAAAACAGAAAGCGCTCAGGTGAGCCTGTCTCAATCACTGCCGGCACCCCAGCCGGCTCCCCCACCGGCCAGCCGCGCGGCCCTGTCCCCTCGCCACACCACCCACACCAGCAC